AGGCATGTTCTTACTGTCCGCCTCTGCTATTTTGTGGAAATGTGATCTGAGTACAGCAGAATATTCAGAAAGCCCTAAAACAATTTTTAAAAGAAATGACACTGTGACGGGGCGGCTGCCACGCCCCGCACAATCGCGGCGCCATGCCCGACGTGTTGGGGAAAAGCAGCGGCCCCGCGCCAGCTCCAGCCCTGCGCAGCTTGCTCCACCACAGGCAGAGGAGGGGCCGGGGGAGCGAACGGGCAGGGAGCCCCCGGGTTCCCACGGCCCTGGTGAGAGCAGGGTCGTCACGGGGCTGGCGAACTGACGTGGCCAGGGGCGGTGCATGCGCAGATCCAGGCTGGCTCCGACCCGACGCGGACTGGGTGGAGAGGCCCGGGCGGAGAGGCGTCGGGAGGGGTGGAAGTAGCCCCCCCCCCCCGGCGCACGAGATGTAGCGGCGGCGGGACGCTTAAGAGGAGCACCTCCACCAGAATCAAGGAGAGGAGGAGCCGAGGGGCAGTGAGCCCAGGAGGCTGACGGACCCAGAGGCATGAACCTCAGAGCAGAGGTGAGTGGAGGAGACGGAGGGAGACAACCAACGGAGAGCCTCACGGAGGCAGCACGAGCCGTCCCGGCAGGGACCACTGGACAAGTTGGCCACGGCGACTTGGCGGGGGATGAAGGAAGCGACCCAGGGCAGAGTATTGATCCTGTGGGGTTGGTGTGTTTCGGGGCGGAGCTTTCCCCCCACCACCCGGGCTGGGGCCCCAGCCCCAGTCCTTAGGGCCGTGGGTCGGGGCTCAGAGTGAGGGCAGGCCCGAGCCCCCCTACCTCACCTCACCAATCCGCCGACGCCACGGCGAAGAGAGACTTCTTTAGGAGTGGACCAACCCTGCTGGACTCGGGGCAGAGGAGTGATGGGGAACACACAACATGGGGTTGAAGGGCTCAGAAAGGAGAGTGGGGCGTGGGCCTGTGAGCCCCAGGTAGGGCATGCCCATGTGCCCGGTAGCAACACATGAAAACATTTCCTGGGAGAGGAGGGGAGAGGAAGTTAGGGAGCAGAAGAATATGTGGGGAGGGACTGGGGCTGCAGTGAGGGAAGGGGAATAAATGGGGTTGAGTGATAAGGGGAGGGAGAACAGTTGTGGGCAGAGGAGGAGGAAGAGAAACCTGGAGACTAGACAGGGGAAAAGTAGGATCAGGTCCACTTTGTCAGTCTCATATTCTCCCTTGATCTGGCATCCCCTGGAGGGAAAACCACGGGGGGAGGGGGGAATAGCTGGGCTGGGGCCAGGGAACCATACATACCCACAAGAGAGCTATGGGCTATTACTTGGGGGCAATTCTGCAGGAAATCTGTGAGACTCCCTGTAAACAGCTCCTTAATTGCTCTTTAAATAGCAAATTAACAGCTCTTTAAACAGCCCCCCTCTTTAAATATCTCTTTAAATAGCTCCCCCCTCTTTAACTAGTCCTTGCCAGCTCTATTAATAGGTCCCTGATGATACTTTAAATATCCCCACTGCTGTCTTTTGCCACAACTCCCTCAGCCTTTGCCAGAGCTACACACAGGGCACACCCCCTTACCTTCACCTCTGCTTACTGCTAATGTACTTGAAAAGTGTATGAAGAAAAAAAAGAGAGCTCCAGCTCCTCACAAAATGAAGTTGGTATTTCAAGCTTAGGAAGCACGAGTCACTCTTCAAGCACTTATTTAAGAACAATGTGTGATGTCAGTGTTACCAATCACATCATATCCCCTACACATCACCAGCTGCAACACCCGTGTCACATTGGTGGCTGGAAACAGAAACAAGAATATAGGAACCCAATGGTGTTTTAATGGGAGGGAGGGGTATTAAAAGTACTGGTGGTGTAAAAGCATTAATTTGAATTTGTCATGAAAGACTTGGGACTAGATCCCAACTACTCCACCCTGGGTGTGCAGGAGGGGAGGGGAGGCTAGAGAGAGTCCTTTCCCTGTCCTTGTACATGTGCGCACGCGCACACACACACACACACACACACACACACACACACACACACACACAGAAAGGGCAGCCATGATGGTGGTGAGTCCATTCTATGGGCTACATGCAGAACTCATGGTGCATCTGTAGTTAGCATGAAATACCAAAAAAGTGGTTAGCAGCTCAGAAAGAGGGGGGAGGAGTGGGA